TGAAAAGCAAATAATCACATCAGCGCCAAGAAACTTCATTTCCCATGATGCTTTGCACACGGAAGCATTGTGATGACGTCACCGCCTAGTACCAGAAACACGTTCTGCGCATGTGCGGGAAGCCGTGGAGCTTTTCCCGCGAACTAAGACCATAAATCTTCAGCAGAGACAAAGAATCCTCGTTCTTTTGCCCAGGATACCTGGCGGTTAGGACACGCTTGTCAACGCTCCGACAACTTGAGCACGCGGAAGCTCTAAGTGCCCGAGTTGAGCCCACGGAACTGCTGGAAACTAAACTGCAAGCCCATCAGATCTGCTCGTTTCTGCTCCCCTCCAGCTGATGTTTGAGGACACAGAACTGCGGAGGAAAGCAACAACTCCATCAAGCACGCTGTAAGTTATAACTCAGCACAGAAAGAAACTTTGCTGTCTCTGTCCAGCCCGTGGAGAAACACTCGTGAACGCCAAACAACGGAGAAAGCATCAAACCGACGGACGACGCCGAAAGCTGCGGAGAAACACGGAGAACCGTCAAATCAAAGAGGGAGGGACGCCTCGCTTTTCTGGTGATCAGCAACTCATCTCTTTCTCTCTCTCCTTCTTCTTCCGTTAACTCTATAGTCCAGAATAAGCAATAAAACCGCGCTATTGCTTAAAAAGTAGCTTCGTGTTTTCCTCTTTCGTCCCAAACACGTCCGTCGGGTCATTTTGAAAGAATAAACTGCTTATTGATCATTGTTTGGTATCTTAAAATGGTTTCTGTCATGGCCAGGCTGAAACTAAAAGATATTAATTTGTGATTAATCTTTTGTGTTGTTTCATGATCTTTTGAAATGTTTTGAGTGATTTAAGGTTAAGTTACTACTGATTCTAAGTGCTTTGGAAGTTAAAGTGCAAGTTGCCACCCACACTTTAGCCAGACAAAGGGGTCAGCCATCTTGTATTCAAGACTCCATTTTGAATCCATACACACGCACACACACACACACACACACACACTACTCCTTTGTGAGAACAAAGGACCCCATTCATACATCCTCCATCACATGCAAACACATCCATCTTCAATCATATCACACGGTTATTATTCATCTATTCCACTGTTTATTCATTTGACAAATTGTTAATTAAATGTTATAAAATTCAGATTTTTGTGTCCAGTAGCTTTGTTGTGTCGAAGAGAAGTCTCTGCTCCAAGGATTCTACGAACTTCAAGAAAGACTGATAAGAGTTTTGGATTCAATTTTTCCCCGGAAAAAGGGGAATGGTGCCCCGTATATCTAAGAATATCTTAATTAATTAATAAATCAGTAAATATTCCCATATTTACAGAATTTATTGAAGAATCCAAAAGTAAGTTGAAGCTTACTAATTGTTCGCTCCTAATAACCCCAACAGCTCTACCTTTGAGAATGGGTGAAAAGCTCAGCCATCCAGGAGGTGCTCGGAGTAGATCACCTGCTCCTCCACATCAAGAGGAGCCGGTTGAAGTGGCATCTGGTTAGGATGCTCCCTGGACACCTTCCTGGTGAGGTTTTCTAGGCCCGTCCAACTAGGTGGACCAAGGACACGCTGGCGGATTATGTCTCTCATCTGGCCAGGGAACACCTTGGGATTACTCCAAAGGAGCTGGTCCATTTAGCTGGGGAGAGGGAAGTCTGGGGCTTAGGCTGCTGCCCCCGCAACCCGACCCCGGATAAGCAGAAGAGGATGGATGGATGGACGGACGGATGGATGGAACACACATTTGTTAAATCTCAAAATGAAATAGAACTTGTTTATTTTTCACTGACTCAAATGAATCTATTTCAACATTTTAAAACTTGTGTTCTTTTTAAGTGGTTCATACCAACAAAGAAAGTTAGGTCCCTTCTTTTTGTGGCCCTGAAGAGCTAGAGTACCTGTCGTTTAACAGACACTTCGGTTTCTCTATTTTGTCTCTTTATTACAAGAAATCACATTGAACTGTAGGTCTGAACACGCATCTAAATTATAAGGCTCCACTTCCCGAAGAGAAAGGATGGAGTGAGGGGAAAGGAGGGATTGGAGGATTGCATCTTTCAAATAAAGCCCCCCAAAAAAGTACTGAAGATGAGATATTCATCAATTAATATCCCCTGAAGCAGACAAAAACAAAGACAGCAGTGTAAAGCGAGAACCTTAATAAGTGTTGGGGGAAGATAAAAATGAAGACAGCGGAGGCGGGGACTCTTTATTTATAGACTTTTAAAGTCACAGCAGCACTATTAAAGAGGACAATCATCTTCCACGAGGAGTGAAAATTAAAAGTGCAGCACTTGAACCACTGATGATGTTGTGATGGTGTTTAGATGCTTTTTATTTTTGTTGTTGTAATCAATTTTCCATCTCCATCTGTTTCCTCTGAAATAAGGAGAAAAGTAGTACTATAATCTGAAATATTTATTCACTCTTAATAAGTCATTTTACCCACAGGCAAAATTATAGATTTGCCTGAATTGAAATTAATTGAAGCTTTTGGTTGTTCTTCCTCCAGGGCTGTCTCTTTGCAGCACCAAAGTTGTATTTATTTATATTTTTCTGAATGGGATAACTGCCTTTGTGCACTTTACTTTTGGAAATGGAAGCTTAACAAATGCTTAGCACCCCAGACACCAAGCGTTAAAAGTTATAAATATTTCAGATTTAAGTGAAAGGCTGGTTTTCCTCAAATGAGTTTGTGATGGTATCTTAGTAACAGGAACCACCAGCACTCACCCTGCGTGTTTAAGTGCTTCTACCTGTAAAAAGAAGCTTTCTTGTTCCCAGTACTGACTGAGCTGTTCTTGCTTCAGTCAGTGAATGTGTTTTACAACCTATTTATCTGGCATTATGTTCACTCCTCTGAAGCTGTTCAGTAAGTGTTTTAAATGTGTTCATGTATTCAGAAAGTACTTGTAGTTATTTGGCAATATGAGTCAAAATGTATTGATAATTTTACGAATCTGAATCCCTAAAGATTCTAAAGAGGGAGTTTTGTTATGAAGATGGCAATGTTAGGACGTTTTGCTGTACACAATCAAAAAACAACACCTTTCTTTACTTTCTAAAACATCCTCTTTACAGTTTTATTGACAACATGACATTCGTATGATTTGGAAAATGTTACAGTCATTGATCATTTATAAATTATGTATATTCTCTTAGCGTGCAGGTGTTGATTCACACACCTAGATACACAAAGTGGCACTACATGAGGCTGGAAGAAGAATCTAGCTACTAATGGTTTAGTTGGGTAAAAATAGTTAAAAGAAAATGGGTACAACCTCTGCATGTTCTATTTCTAGGTTCTGACTGACGAAAACAGCAGAGCGGAGGGTGACGAGATTTCTATAGGTGTCAAACAATTGAATGTTTTAGCTTCCTCTTTGTTTGATTCCACATGGAATTATATTTTTGATGCAGATTTCTGTTTTTCTTCCTTCTTTTTGGGTAAAATATTGTTAAAATTTTTTAAATGTGTCTCTATCAAACAAACTCAAAAGTGGTTTAAATGACAAAATCCTACAATCTGGACTTGTACGTGTGTCAAGAATAATCACATCATCTCAGACAAACACAGAATGACCAAATATTTACAAATGTCATACCCTGATGCATGAATGCCATTTACCACACACACACACACACGCACGCATGCACACACACACACACACACACACACACACACACACACACACACACACGCGCGCGCGCACGCACGCACACACACACACACGCACACACACACACACACACACACACACACACACACACACACACACACACACACACACACACACACACACACACACACACATACACACACACTTTCAATTACTGTGGAATGGAACAGAACGGAAGCAGCAGAAATAACAGCAATAAAACTAAGTATGTCCTGAAATAAAGTTAAATGGGTGTCAGGTTTGTTTTCAACACAAAGACACAACTGGCCCACATCCAACAACACACACAGAACCAACACAGAACCAACACACAAACACACACCTGCACAGCAATAGGATGTTCAAAAGGCTAAATGATTTATAGGAAAATACACATTTGCGTGCTTGTGCGCGCAGGCACACACACACACACACACACACACACACTCAATCATAAATCATAATCCAAAGACTTAGTGTGTATCTGACGTGCCCTGAGCTTGTCTTTGACATTTAGAGTTCATGATTCATAGATGAACTGTTACACAAGCGTAATAGAGCACTCTGATGTGTGTGTGTGTGTGTGTGTGTGTGTGTGTGTGTGTGTGTGTGTGTGTGTGTGTATGTGTGTGTGTGCGCACCACTTCATGAGGGCCCTTCATTTTGCATTTAGACATGAAACACTTTTGTAAATCATGTTCATAAAAACAGGTAAAAGCTGCAACTAAAAGACAGTATGTTTATAGAAAACACACCTATCTGCAGATGAAAACCTAAACAGGACACATGACGATGGGCCGCTTTTGATGCACATGCAGCATCGCTGAAGCAAGCACAAAAGACAGCACTTTTTAGCTGTGAGCCGAGGCTTGCCCACACAAAAGAAGAGTGATGTCATTCACCTGAGCCTCAGAGAAACGTGTCACATGTATATCAGAGATTAATCAACAGGGCTGTTCAACTGCCTGAGTGATCACCACTACACACACACACACACACACACACACACACACACACACCCGACCCTAACCCACACACACACGAATGAGTCCAATGAAGAAGGAACAAGAAATTCCTTCTGATCCACATTACACAAACTTGTCCAGGTTTGGGATCATTCAACCCTAAATTAGGTCTGGATTGGTCCAAAATCTGCAGTTATTTGAACATTTTCTAATAACATTTAATCACAGTTTAAATAAATAATTTTATTATGCATTTCTATTATAAAATTATTATTTGTACAATAATCTCCAGCTCAGTTCAGGTCACATTAGAAACAGTTTTTGTGTCCCAAAACATCTATAAATCACCATGTCCACTAACACACATTCCTACCTTCGTATACAGCTTTGAAGCCCTGCGCGCTCACTGCAAAGTCCGTCGTAAACCACAAGGCTAGTATGGATCCGGTGCTGACTATAGGCGAGGGCAGCATGAATCCCGACAACCTGCAAAAAGGAAAAAAAAAAGCATGTAAGCATTCATTTTATCAGAGGAGAGAGTTATCATGGAGAAAAAAAAAAGAAAAGTCTGATTCATGGAGCTGAATTTTACAAAAATCTCTGTAAAGGCACAAATTGTTTTTTCCCACAGCAGCTGAGGTGAAAGAGCTTTGGACTGATCTGCAAACGCTGACATGAGTGGCCAGACAGGTGAAAGCAAACAGCAGTGTGAATAAAATAAATATTAAAACTTTAAAATAATACAAAGCAGGAGGGAAAGTATTACCATACCAGGCTGTGCAGAAGTGGGATATCAAGATTTAGACCCTAATAAAACACAAAGTTAAGTAGCTCTTGAGGGCAAGTGGGGATATAATTGGTTCAAACTGTGTAGGAGAATGAAAACGTTGAATGGTGAGGGTAAGGATGAAGATAAGTGGAGACATTGAAGAGAGAAGTGAAGGGGAGAATGCAGTAGAGGCAACAATATAGAATGATTTCAAAGATGACGCTGATTCGTACTTTACTTTTGTCCATCATTGGGAGGATTTTCCGGAAGAGACTAGTTTGTAGCTTTGTGTCTCGAACCTGCAGATTTGGAACTAACTTTTAACAACTCTTGCCAAAATGAGACAAATTACAACTATTTCATAGAAGTTAAGTAAAGCACGGCCTGAAAAAAAGTAAATCAAGCCAAAAATAAATAAATAATAATTGCCTGAAATTAAGAGTTCAAAATAGTTTTTTGCAGAAGTCGAGCTAAAACCTCAAGTTATGTTTCTGTTGTTTAACAATCTGCACTGAAAAGGTTCACATTATATTGTCCTTTTAAAATCATAGAGAAAAAATGCTGTTAATCATAAAATGTTTAGCTCTCCAGTCTCCAGGACTTGACACAGAAATCATGCTGTGTTATAGTTGTGTTTTAATTATTTATTTATAAATGAGAGAGAGAGAGAGAGAGAGAGAGAGAGAGAGGGAGAGGGAGAGGGAGAGAGAGAGAGAGAGAGAGAGAGAGAGAGAGAGAGAGAGAGAGAGAGAGAGAGAGAGAGAGAGAGAGCTGTTCTGGTTGATCGAGTGGCATCACATTAAATGTGCTGAAGACAGAAATGAAGAGATATTGAAACAAAACCACAAACAACAGCACAGTTTTTGGCTCTCCTTCTCTTTAGTGCTTTTTGCTACTTTTAGCAATTATTGTGAACACTCTGTTTAAAAGCAAGCATCATAAATATAATATTTTGTTTGTGGTGACAGTTTGTTCGTGTTGGCTGACACAAAACCTTTGTCTAACAAGAACAAACATGGTGAATGGTGTGCACTTTGGGACTTTCCAGAGACTTTATGGACAATTTTCTTCAGGATTCATCTCAGAGTTACAAATGGGGCACTTAGTAAACAGAAAAGATCAATAATTTTAGGCACAAAACTAGAAACGTGTGGCAAAAACACCACCAGTGTTTTGGAGATGCTGGCCGTTGTGCTATGAAGATTTAACTGCAAAAAATAAAGTATATAAGTGATTAGCAGGCCTGTGTAACAGCTCTCATACAGTTGGCTGGGGTACAAGAAGATGGTGGTAACTATTGCAGACACTTAGGAGAAAATTGTAATCATATTTGTAATTATTTATTTCAAAATGAATGCCTTGTAAGTTGTCCTCTAAAGAAAAAAAGACCTGGTGTGCCTGTTTGAGGACATAGAAGTCAGCTGGTGAGGAGCTTCACATGGCAGGATTTGGACTCTTATTTTCTGATGTTCAGACATCTCGCCTTTAATTGGCTAATAGCAATGCAACTCTACCTATGACTCAGTTTGCTCAGCAACATTGATGGTTTGTTTTTATAAACACCACAAGAATGGAGGAGTTCTGCTGTGTGGTGGAGTTGCTAATGCTAATGGTGTCTACTAGCCAAGATGTTCTCTGCTGTTTCCTGGACACTAAACCAGCGGTACTCAATTGGCGTCCTGGCCCGCGAGCCCTCTCCTTGTGGCGCCCGAACCCCACCCCCCACCCCCGACGGCCGACCGGGAGGTGTAGGATAGATAGAGCTGAGGAAAACAATCAAATAATCAATGCATCAAGATGCGGGCATAAACAGTTCTGCATCATAGAAGAGTACCACAATCAATTATAGTGTAATGTGGTTTTGTTTCTTTAACGGCGGCACCAGCGTAGCATCCACATCTGTCGGAGCGGTGTTCTCCACATTTACCGGGTAGGAAACTTTGGTCCGCCTTTATGTGGTTCTGCAGGGCTGAGCGCTGGAGTTGTAACCTGAGACCGAACCTGAACTGAATCAGCCCAATTGGTTCTGTTGGATTTGGGCCGTGAATTATGTTAATTAAGCGGGTTGTCACGCCGTGTGCTCCTCTCGCTTGCTCGATCAGCGACTGAGAGAGAGATGGAGAGAGACAGGCATTGTCTGCTCACACAGGAGGAAGGATCGGAGGACGCTCTTCCAAACACGCATTATTATTTTCATAATTTCAATATTATTTCTCCTCGAAGCCCTCAGTCAGACCGAGTGTTGTGATGTTGGGAGATCCAGTCTTGGGGATGGAGCAGGGTCAGTGACGGCGGCTGCAGCATAATCATTTGTCTCTTTTATTTAGGAACATGGAGAAGTTCAAAGGAGAGAGAAATTGAAGATAAAAGTTTTTTATTGTTTTGTTTCATGATGATAAACTGATGTTAAATTCAACTTAAAAAGAAACTAGGAGGAAGCCTTGGTTCTTTTTAAGTTACAGGAGATCTTGTTTCCTATCTGCTCCTCCAGAGACAGCATGGACATGAGGGTCACATGGTGAGGGTCCCACAGGACAGGTTAGTGCAGTCACACAGCCGAGCTGGAGGGGTACAGCCAGCGATCCAAACAGAAGTACACCCCCCCCCCCCACACACACACACACACACCTACCCAACATTGAGTGCGTTTACATGCAGCCAGTAACCCTTATAAAACCCAAATATTCACAATAACCCGGTTCCGCAGGTCCATGTAAACACCGCCAAAAACCCGGATATGCTAATAACCCGGTTACTACACCTGGAGTAACCCTTTTCTAACCCGAATGTTTGGTCGTGTAAACGCATATCGGGATATCCCCATCAAAGCGTGTGTTCTGCGCATGCTCTGTTCGCAAGCAATCTTGGTCTTTTGAGTAGAGAGACGTCTTGTATGCGCCAGAATACCGGAAGTAAACAACAAGTTGGGAGCAACATGGCGAGTCGCGGCACAGCACCACACTTTTGGAGTGACGAGGAAACCTCTGTCTTCATCAGTCTGGTGAAAAGTATGAACATTATGTCTTTTGTTGATGGCCGAAAGTACAGACACAGCGAAATATACAAGAAGGTAACCGCATATTGCGTCTTGACGTAGTCCATACATCCTGACGCTACCCCCAACGTCCACATTTAAATCGGGTTATGCAAGTTAGTGGTAACTCTTTCTATTTATGCTTGTAAACGGGTTATTCTGATCAACTCAGAAACCCGAATACCGTCCTTAACCCGATCATAACCCGGATATTGGCTGCACGTAAACGTAGTCATTCATACAACAACCCCCCATCCCCACCCCCCACCTCCAAAATATATATTTTTCTAAATAACAGACCAAGCAGTGGGGTAAGGACATGATGAGATGGAATAAAATAAAATAAAAATAAATAAAGAACTGAAGGCAGGTAAGATGGAAACACATTTGTTTAAAATATCAGGTTTCCAAAGAGAAGAAATAAATAATAAAAAACACCTGAAAACGTATAATAGAAACGACAAAAACCGTATTAAAATTATTTAAATATTAAGTCAAAAATACAATTAGACTACAATTGCTTATATATATATATATATATATATATATATATATATATATATATATTTTTTTTTTTTTTTTACATTTTTGTTTTTTCATAAAACGAGCATCTGCTTCCTACTAATGCTTAGGTTCCAGCATTCTGCACATCACACTACAGCAAGAGAGTGAGCGTGCACCAGGCAGATAATTACTGACACCGAGTGGCTCGGCAGTGCTGCAGGTTTTAGAGGGGTTTTCTGAGGCAAGGATGTACAAATGAGGCTGGAGGAGGTGAAGAGGAAGATGCATCTCGTTACTGTAGCAGCAGAGAGGTGTTGCTTCAGATGTATGGAGAGCAGGAAGGCTCCTTAAGCTGCTTGTCCAACGCAGTGGTTTGGATATAAGCATTGTCCTTTTGTATCCTAAAAATGTTTGTCATTATGTAAAATAGCTGCCATGCATTACTGAGGGGAAAAAGGAAATAAACACCAATGAACTGATTTATTTGGTAGTGACAGGTTTCAGGAGATCTATAGCAGAATACTCAAATAAGTGAAAATAAATGAGACAAAAAGGAAGGAAACTGTGGGACATGACTTTATAAGGTTAGACAAGAAATAAAGTGCTGCAACTAGTAATTGAATGCACGCCTGTCTGAGACGTAATCATGATGTTTGAGCTAGTGGTTTAAACTTGCTACTGAGGAATATAATGAAAAAGTTATCTTCCGCCTTTTCCAAATTGAAATGAATGCAAATGATTTGCAGGATAAATCCTATTTATTTATCTTTAAAATGTAGATATTTCTGAGCCACTTGTGAGCTGTTTAGTACGGACTTATGAAAACTTGATGTATTTTTTTTTCAGTGAGAAATTCAAATCACATTATCAGATGAGTAAATAAAATTCTGCATGTGGTCGTGCAAATAGATTTTGTTGAACTTATTGTAAATTAAAATTAAAAATTGCTTTAAAGAATCAAATATGACATTTTGACAAAAATGAACACTTGATGCAAAATTGCAGGAGGTTTTGTTTCACAGAAACAGAATTAGAACAGAATCATTCCTTATTCAACAGAAAAAAAAACATGTGTGTACAAAACTACTTAATTCTTTTATTCATCAGTCACTGCCTCTGGTTTGTGGCCAAAACATGAGCGGAAAAGGCAGCGAGACATTCAGAGTACAGAACAACATG